TTTTTTTTTTTTTGGTTACAATTTTACTTATTTGCTTATCCTGCTTTGTGTAAAATGCATAAATTTACACGACAATTTATTCCTACATATAGATAGTAACAGTAGAGGGGCCGCCTCAATTTACTATATATTATACGTACATATATGTAGTTGCATCGACAAGAAAAGTTGCCTGTGTTGAAAATGGAACTATTTCCTTTCAAAAATAGTTGTACAAGAGTTAAATAATTTGAGAGTATTTTCTTAAACAATTATGAGCCGCACGTTTAAAATCTGTAGATTTATTTTCACGCAATTCTATTGGTCTTACCAATCTTTTCGATCGCTATTGCTGAATAATCAAAATTTTCCAAAAATTCTTTTAACACATAAAGCCTTTTTACAAGAAGTGCGCATTCTATTTTTCTTTTATCTATTTGAGGTGAGGACTTGGAATCACCTAACATTTCCTAAAATGTCATTGAAGTGCCATTGAGATGCTCCGAATCACAAAAATTGCATTAATTGGAAATGCGTTTCAATTATTAATTAATTAAATCCACCCAGAAGGGATGCCGGTCTATGTTTGTCTTGGCTTGAATATATTTACAATTCTTTTTTTTTTTTTATGTAGAAAAAAGACCTGCTTGGCCAACTTATGATCTTACGCAAACCAAATATATTCATTTAACCAATCAGACTTCCCGACATGCTACTGACTTTTATGAAGAAAGTGGCATGCGAAGTGTGCTTCCGCATCTCCCAGCGAATATATGCACCTGAGCATAATGCATCTTACCACCGAATCTACTTAAAAATATAGGTTGTCTAAGAATTTCAGTCAGAAAGTACTCCACCTAGGTTGGCCTCGTATTAAAATTAAATGCTTTATAAGAAAATAAGGAAAAACACTACAGTGGCCAGGGCCCACTATTAAATGTCATACACTACTTCGCTAAAGACAACCATTCATATAAAATAAGTTATTATATGAGCAATGATCCGATCGGTGCCGTTTGCAGTAGCGTTCGCCCTCACGCGAAGACACGCCGGTATTCCAAATGTCACCAAAGTATTTCAAAAATTGCAAATCATAGGTTGAACACAAGAGTAAATGGATCGATATCAGGCAAGCAAACGAAAAGGCAGATAGACAAGCTTAGATCGCCATAGTGAAACGTGGGTCTGTCTCAAATAGACTACTACCTAGTCCATACATCCGAACAAGCTGCACCACGAGTGGTACGGAGTGTAAGAATAAAGTTTAGTTTGTGCAATCCTTTATGTAAGCCGTTAATCCTATTAGCGGACGAGGCCGAGATCTCAAGTAAGTAGTAATGTAATAATCGCTGAACATTTTACATATTACCGGAAACGGATTGAACAACTCATAAGTAGTTTGGCATTGTGATAGCTTCAACAGTAGAAGATGTCTTGAGACCTTACTCGAGATATAAATTCGGGGAATAAAATTACTTATTAGCTTAAATACAAACGTTATACCAAACACTTTCAAGCTTTTTTTCAAGGGACGGTAAATCAACGAGTTTCAGTCAATCAACATCATATAATTGAGGAGATAGGGCAGGATCCCATTTCAAACCACGAAAGGCAAGTTACAGAAGTTCGATTAGAAGTCGAAGCACAGACGAATACTTAGGTGTTGATCTAACTAAGGATGTATGTACACAAGTACTCGGTAACATGTGGGTCGCGTTGAATTCTTTAGACCATCTTTTCATAAGCCCCACAAAGCATCGATCTACTTTTTTTTTAAACTGAAACGTCAATACGAGCATCAAACTTGCATTTTTGCAATTAGAGACAGTTTTCAGGATACGATTATCAATGCGGTAGTAAGAGGACAACGCATTAATCCACGGAAAAGACATTTTACATTTTTGTGAATTAAACACCATACCATTGGTTACAATACACCTTGCGTATAGGTTCACAAGATCAGAGTGAAGAACTTTAATGCCTAAGAATGTTTCCAAGGAGAGTGAAAGTTTAACGTCATCTAGCAATCATTAAAACGCGATAATATTGAATGCACTGAGAAAAACTATTTTCAGATAATTTGAATAAAAATTATTCAAAATGAGTGCCGTGAGAAATACCAGAAGTAGGAAAAATTTTTTCCTACTCTTCTTTTCTTGAGGCCAAACGAAAGCAAAAATACTTGATTTCATCGGTAACCTTGTCAGACTAAGTCAGACAAGTCGCCTAAAGAATTCAAGATCAATATTGATGCTAAGAGCGAACACTATCCCCTATTCATAAAATATTGTAATGAACTTGACGTCAAGTAATATTATCTCCAAGCGTTCTTCACACTTCATAACTATGACGTTACAATAAGTTACACTGCAAGTTGATACGTTTGATTATGATTTAACCTCTTATTTCTGATAAACAATTATTAATTATGTAGATGTTAATCCAAAGTTTTAAAATCACATTAAGAGTTATAAAGTTACTTGTAACCCTTAACATTGAGAATCATTTCATTCGTACACAACACTTCAGATAACAAGCGAAAACGTATTTGTAACGTTTTAATGTGCAAATCATTACAATTTTTACATAAAATCTTCATATGAATAATAATAATGACTGTTGCTGTTCGATAGCGTTTTTGTCACAAGGGACGCGAACAGTGTTCGATGGCTACGGTTATTACGGCATTAAATGCGAAAATTAATTAAGATTTTACCCGTTAACATCAGTTTGTTTTGTTCATCGAAACTCTTTGAAACGTAGATAGTGACTATAGCGAGGGCTGTAGCTTGTAGTGATTTCATTATCCTGCAGATATAATCATTGAAGAACAATCGAAATATATGCACGGGGAATGCCCCTCAGTTCAAGGCCGAAGAAGTAAAAGCGTCCTATCGGCTTATTTCATCAAATAAGTCGCAGCACTAAGAAATTGTTTTTTGTTTGTAGCCGATTGTTGTTTTGGGCAAGTCATTTTTTCTATATCTGTCAGGATTTTACGCGGCAATCATAAAAACGAAACCCTGCACTTCTATTAAAAAATACTACGGCCTTAATTTCGAGTATAAGATTAATAATGAAGGTAAAATTTGGTCGCGTGACATATGGTTTTTGACAAGTGACGTAGGGTGTAAAAATGAAATGAATCTAACTTTACACACATGGCCCTATTTCTTGGCTATATTCTTGTAGGAAATTCTCGGGAAAACGCTTAATTTTTAATAATTTATGATGAAAATTAATTCTTAGTAGCGTTTAAGCTAAAAAATTAACGGTAGAGAATTTGGCTCACATAGATCAATTTTTTTTTTGGTTTATCCTAACCTAAATATAGACCCGATCACACACACACACAAACTCCTATATGGAGAGAAAGTCTAGCGTGCTAACATGCGGGCTTTCATGAAAATTATGTCTTTGCAAGCAAAATAGTGTGTACTGTTTCGTCTCTTATTACCACAACGAGTTAATAGCTACACTAAGCGAAGTAGTGTAGGATATATAACGATCGGCGTTACCCAACTATAATGCTCTTTCACTTGTTTTATTTAATCGCTATCATGAACAAATTTTCGTCACAATAAAAATTAACAATTAGGCCTTTTTGGCGTGTAGGGGTTCACGTTTCATGGGAATCCTTTTAGGCGATTGCATTCATAAAGTAGACCTATGTGGTCCAAATTTTCTATTTTGAGCCAATTTTCATCATGAAATATTAGAAATTTGACTTTTTTTGCGATATAAAGTGTCAATTTCCGTAGGAACGGTTATATGAGAGGGGATTCAAAAAATGACCACAGCCGGTCCAAAATTTTCACACCAATTTAAAATGACGAAATGCTACTATCTAACCACTTTTGCCGAGATATTTTGAAAATTTCAGCTTTTTTCCATATAACGACTTTTCAGAATAGGGCATTATATAGGGTGTGGTCGAAAAAGTGGGCCGATCCGAACCATTTTCAACAGCATTCGTCCTCAAAACACATCACCGTGCCACATTTCATAAAAATATTCCAAGAATTGCGACCTGTAGCTTGAACCCAAATATACATGGGCAGGCAGTAGACGGGCAAACAAATAGAAAATGATTCTGAATCGATGGCTACAATAAAAGATGAGTCTTTCTAAAGCCCTTCTGCTTGTTACGTACATCCACGCAATTGTAATATACCCGGTACCAAAAGTGATGTGGGGTATAAATATTACCCCGTAGAGACACGGATTGTTGAAGATCAATAAATCATTATTCGTCGTTAACGTAACACGTCAGTGCGTGCATCTTTTTATTACTGTTTATACATAACGCACTAGGGATATGCAATAACTTATGTAGAATGCTACGCTTATACAGTTATGTTCTCATTTTGTATGCAACGCCCAAAAGGTAGCTTCGAAGACCCCATAAACTAAGATGTTGTAGGGAAAAAATGTCCTTTGGCGACTTTCACGTACATACTCGATTTCTTTTGTGATGCAGTTCCTGCCATTGAACTGTGGTATTTACGTTAACGTAGATTCGACTTACAATTCTTCCAAAGATCTGTTTGCAAATTATTTACAAGGACTTGTACTTACAATACTTTAAGTCTCGTTCGGCTCTTTTCCGTTCGAATATTGCAATTCAACTTTGTTGACTCGACTGACCTGGCCTCCAGCAAATATTCTGCTTATATATCTTTTTTCAAGGGGCTTACCACTGCCTAATCTCATAATTGTGAGATTTTTGCGCTAAATGTTCTACTAATAATTGTTAATCCGTTCGACAATCGCTAGCTGCATGACGCAGGTAAAGTATCGTAAATGTGTATTTGGTTTTACCATTTTTTTTCTTGATCAAAGAAAAATTCTGAATCGATTTAGCGATTTTTATCTGTGGTGCACGTTGTTCGCTCTTGCATGCAGCTTGGTATTGAAAGCGAATCGAATCTGTCGAAGAATATTCCCGTAGTGAAGCAAAAAGTGAAAGCATCTTTATGTCACCCATAAATTTATAAGATACCGAAGGTTGAAATTTTCGAAATTTACTTCTCGAGGACACACCCGTTATAGTGTTAGTTATAAGTAATCAAATTTTAATTCTTTTTTTTTTTTTGAGGTTTGTTGCTTATTGCTCGTAAGGCTCGTACAAGTAAGAGGGCTGAAAAATAAGGATGCAAGACTCTGTCTAAGCCGAACCACTTGGACTTCCTACTTGTTACTATTGTTATTATAAAATTTCTTTTATTATTTAATCTTTTGTGCAGGTACTTGAGTCCAGTGTCAATCAAATCTTAGATGACGTGAAAGATTTCAAAGCTGATCTGAACGAATGTCAACGTTTGGATAATATTATACAGACCTTAAGAGATTATGATGGACCTACCATTTATCACGAATGGCCATTTCCTGTAGTATTTCAAGGAGCAGTGGAGGAGGCTGATTTAGCACAAAATCTTAATAAGACAAAGAATGCAATTATGTCAAATAGCAAGAACGTAACATAAAATGCTCTGTATATTGCCATCTGATCTGTTGCATAATTCAAATTAATTTTATAAAAGCTGAGCGAGATTTTAATGTGAAAGAATATTTTATTAAATTAAAGATGAATGAAATTTAAAGAAAAACAAAACTTGGAAAAATTAATTTAAACCTACTTTGTGGCAATTGGAAAATGCAACAACCGCATAAGCCAGGTGATCGTGGTTTGATTTCTTTTTTTTCCTTTTTTTTTTTTTGTAAATTTTAAATATGATATAGTTATTATACATATATATATATATATGCATATATGCATTTATGTAATAGTTGGTGTTTTCTAAATAAAATACATGGGAAATTAATAATTTCTGTAAATTTTGTCATTGTATTATGAAAAATGAAAGTAAAAACATACAACAATGTATGTAATGTTATTCGTAATGAACTCACAAGAAAATATATGTAATTTCAATTTCACTCTCAGCATAACCGAAATGGTTTCTGCTCCATCTGCTAATACATTCGTGTCATTCGTATCTGTAGGTATTACAAATAAATTAATTTATATATTTTAATTTAATGGGCCTACAGGAGATGTTAATGTGATCAGGATTCGTTGCCTGTCAACAGGCAACACTTAAGATTTTATGAAATATTTTATATATATGTAGGTATAAGTTTTACCTGTTAAACACCCTAATTGACAAATGTTAATGCATTCGAATGATATAAATAAATTGAGACACTTAAATACGTAAAATGACAACTGCATTGCATCGAAAATTGTATAGAAATATAATTTGGAATGGTATACAATCATCAATGGTTGTAATATTATTAATGTTATCCTGTAATCGAGTGTCATGTGCTGTGCTTGCTAGTGGCGGGTATTAGAAAATTTGACCCGATTTTACTTTCTTTCTTATATTCGAATTCAAAGTATATAATGCTATATACATCTTGATTGCTATACATATATATGTATGCATGATGGTTGCACCAAAAAAAACAAGCAAAGCACTAAACTAACTTAATATTTTGTTGATAATATTATTAAGTTTAAGCTGACATTAAGTTGTCATTTTTAAAAGCATTAAATTTCCATACAATCATGCATATGTTTAAGCTTAATCATCAATCAATATTAATCTTATTAAATATTTTCAGAAAGCAACAAAAAAAAATAAAAATAAATAAATCAAAACCACAATGAGCAACAGAGCAACGAGAGAAACAAATACCAAAAAATGAAATTTCCAGGAAATTCTGTTGATTAATTAAAAATGTTGCATTGTTGCATATATATGGGGCGAAAAACAAAAAAAAAATTGCTGGACAAATGAGTCATGCCTTAAAGATATAGATAATAATAACCATTCATTTCACAATTTGGATATGAAAGTAAACAACAACAAAATATATGTATATGTAGCATTCACACAAATGTATAAAATTAACCGCAAAGCGTACCACACATTCACCCTGAAAGCATATCAGCAGCGACAAACAATGTGACAAACAAGAAGTAATATGTCCAATACTTGAATTATTAATTATACATGTAATGGGTTATCAGTGCTGTTAATATATTAAAAACGGCCACTGAACCTTTCAATAACACTATTACAAGTTTTTTTTTTCCTTCATTTGTTTTATTATTTATTTCTTTATTTTATTTATTTTTTTATTTTTTTTTTTTTTGATTTATATTATTATTATTATTTTTATTATTATCATCAAAATGAGAATATGTGTCTGTCAGGCTATTGGACTATACGCACATATGCTATCAACAGGCCGTAAAAGATCTAGCTGGATGATGGATGGTATGATGCCACTGATGCATACCCATTCAATTCATATTTATGTAGATTGAGCAGCTTTTACATGCAATTAATCTTATATTATATATATATATATATATATAAATAATGTGTGTTTGTGTGCACATGATGAAAACATAAAAATACAGCCATGAACAAAAAAATTCCAAAAGTTTACTTCTACTTTGAATTGAGTTCTACACGCTTGTTACGAAAATATATTTCAAAATATTGGACTCATAAAAAGTCATGAAAATTCCGCGGTCATATGCGAAAAGCACAAAATCCTATATTTAATATATATTATATAGAGGATGTAAATTAAACGTTTTACTTCCGTCTTCTCTAACTCAAAATTTGGTATCGAATTGCAGGCCCCTCCAAACTTAATCATTATTTTTGTATACCTACTGTCCGCGCCTTTACTCGAGATAGCAAAAAAAAAAAAAAAAAAACACGAAAAAGAAATAAAAAAAAATGGGACAAAGATAAATTTGCTGGTAGAATATCTTCCATATTATACTGTTAAACAAGATCGTTGACTAGAGAATGAAATTCTTCAACTATTCTGTTAAAATATTTTATTAAAAATTTGGATTACAGTTTTATTGCCGTGTACCTGGCTCTACATGAATATGGAGCCATGTATATATGCATTTATATATGTGTATGTTTCTATATACAAACATATTTGAAGTTATTCGTGATGTACCGAATCAATTTACATACATACATAAGCATAAATGTGTGTGTATCTGTGTACTTATTAATGTGCGCGTACATTTTGTATTTAAATGTAAATTAAGTAAATATCTGTCTGTTGCATGCAACAGCGACAAGGGCCGCAACAATGATTATAAGATCAGAAATTTTCGTCACACACCGAAGCTATGATACGCAACAACACAAACTGTTTGTAATACGATGACCGTTGACTTTCACTTTCTTCAAAATGGATCATTATAATGTTTGTTCTTTCAGATCGCTTCTAGTATTATGTTTGTAATCTGTAAATCTCATGTTTTCGATCGAACATGTCAGATCATCATTTGCTTTCAGACTAGGAAAGCAGATTAAAGTAAACTTATTTTCCTTCAAAAAACTCATTCCGCCAGCAGAAGCGTTTTGGATACGTACATAATCATCAGATACATAGATATATATGTAGATATTTATATGCATAAATGCTATATATATTTCCACTTTGATGCTAGCAATAATGATCAATTGAAAAATTGAATGTGTACCGTCGTGAATGCTCTGACATTCATTATATCAGATTATGACTATAGTTGTTAAATATTTTTGATCAGTAATCGGATATAACAACTAATTTTAAAATGAACTAATTCTCAATTTTTGGACGCCAATGAATTTTTTTCTGTCCGTAAACATGTTAAAAAAATAATTGATATTATTCATCCGCAAACTTTGCTACGGTATCTAACAGTTTGAAAAAAGTAAAAAAACAAAAAAAAATGTTTCAAAATAGCCAGCTACAGCAGATATCAATCGAATTAATATTCATCAAAAACGTTCACCAATCCCCAGTTTATGGTTCTCGATGTCGAGTAAACTGGATCGTATTTTCATCATATACGTTGCTCCGCCATGATTTACCGATCAAAAAACTTTTCATTTGGCAACAAGAACAGTACATAGGTGTAAACTTTCTGCTCGCTACAGCACGTCTATAGTACATAGTATAGAACCCAGATGCCTAAATGTTGTGTGATTCGAGAATGGTGGCAAACGCCTTTACGATTGGTAAAACACTAATCATCTTATTATGATTCAATTTACAGCAAAAGCATCATACTCTAGTTTTTTGAGCGCAATAGATGTGTGTACGCCAGCGGATTCTCCTCTCAAGTCATCTCAGTTCTATTGTTTCTTTTTTTTCTCTTGTATTAAAAATATTCGAAAAACTTTGAAATTTTAAAAATAAACAGATGGACGAACATAAAACCAAACTTAAGGGAAGTTTCCATTAATCAAATATATATACAGGTATGGAAAATATATACATATTTACATATATGTGATGTAAGAGCATATAGTTAATGTAGAAGTATTTTATGAAACATTCAAACAGTGTTACGAATGCAATAATAAAGTTATTAGATCTCTGAATTCTTCGCTGGTTGGTAAAAAAAAAAAAAAAAAAAAAAAAAATTTTATTAATAATGATACCATATATACAAATAGGTGCACAGGGAAAGGTACGCATACATATGCATGCGCAAGCAAAATTCATCCGTTAATGTTGTACATCACAACAATAACCGCAACATGATAAAAAATGAAATAAAAAGTGAATGAAAGAAATTTATGCCGACCTATGGACATTGGATTGCCAACAATATGTGCATATGTGTACATACATATGTAAACAATTCTTGAACATTACTAAAAGACATATTTATGAAATTTATATGTACACCTAATTCTCTTTTTACACGGATTTTATTAACGCGAATTAAAAAACAGAAATAATTCTCGTTTTGTTTTGTTCTAACACGATTTTCAATATTCTATGAATTCTTTTTTTTTTTGATGTTTGTACAAATCTTTTCATTCTTACTGCTCACAGGTATGCATTGAAAATTCGCGTTATGTTTTTCACAATACGGTTAGATCGAGTCGATTATATGCGTATATAGGCGCGATACCCCGAATTATGAGCAGAGTAAGGACGTAATGTATTTGTTAAGTAACTTAGCTTGGCATGTCAAAGTATAATTTATTTTTTGTAATATATTTCATGAATTAAAACGCCTAAACACGAAACAAATTGTAAGCAGTTGTTCGCATTTAGTCAATATCTATTTTTATACAAGTTTTTTTCGCACGAAGTTTCTGGGAACGTATCTTTCGTGTAAAAAGAGAATTAAGTGTATATAAATTTATTATTGTTGTATAAACTTCAATCTGTGTAAATGTCCCATTTATAGCTTTTCTCGTTCGCTCTCTTTCTTTCCATCTCTCTCTCTTTTTATCCAACCAACATTTCGTTTCGTTTTAACAAGCAAAACATTCTCTCTCTCTCTCTCTCTCTCTCTCTCTCTCTCTCTCTCTCTCTCTCGCTCTCTCTCGCTCTCCATCTATCTATTTACCTATCTTTCTTTCTTCACCTTTCTTTGTATCGTTACTTTTACTTATTAAACAGGAGCTCCTTACTCGAAACGAGTACGAAGTAACAACGATAATATCGGGAAAATGTTAATTTCTTTGTCAAACATTGAAGAAATAATTTTTATATCTTTAAATATCATTTATCAAAAATTAAAAATGATGGATTATATTAGTTTCTACATATCATTCGTCGCATCTACAGAATATGCCGAAAACCCTTTAAAGAACGCGTAGTTGCATTCTTCCTCCTTTCGCTTTGTATAAGATTCGAATGAAGCCAAGTTTAGCCCGC